ACACACACAAACACACACATGCTGAGACAGTGATCGCACTTAACTCGTACAGAGACATAAATACTTTATGTATACACAGACACACAAATGTGTTGTACTATACACACACACTCTCTCTTTTCCATCTTTTCACTCTCTCTTTACTTGCTTTCATTAAAACCACACTGACAAACAGCAGCATATGCAGCTACGCTGAGCAACAGATGTTCAATGGGAGATATTGTGTAAGACTAAGTGTTAATGTCTGCTGTGTATAAAATGCCTAACGACTCTCTGTCATTTGTGTTTGCCTCCACAGGTACTATGAAATGTCCTACGGTCTCAACATTGAGATGCACAAACAGGTAAGACAAACTGGACGCAGTATTTTTTGTTTTTTCAGTCTCTAATCATTGCTTTCTCTGTAGAAGTCGTATTTGTAGGCAGGAGGAGGGGGATGTGTTATTTTAAGCATTGTATATCAGCGTGTCATTTTGTGTGGGTGGCTTTATAATATATTTTATTGCTCCTGTCTTCTTTTATATTTTGTATTTACACTGATCTCAATATAGCTAAATAAGGTGACAATCATTTGGAAACACCTTTCATTAAATGCTGCCCCTAAAACCACCAATTCAAACGTAATCTAAAAATGCACCACATGCATTGGGACTTCACAATGTACATGTGTTTCTATTTTTCTGGCCACTCAGGGTATTCTGTGTTGGCCGGATAAAGCAGACTCTGTTCCAGCTTCAATTTCTGTGTAAAGATGATGAGCTGGAAAAAAGTAGTGACTCACCTTAGTAAAAAGTAGGACCAAAAACACTTTTTGTTGAAGAATGAGTTTCTTCTTCTTACTTTTATTTGGTAGACTAATAATGAGTCAGCAAGAGCAACAAGTGGTTTCAACACTGTGCAATGGATGGCTGATTTTATTTGTTTTAATAAGGGTCACTGCACAACGCTGTAGTTTCCCTCTCTATGCCTCCGTATGGAATATAAGGTACTGTTGCATGAAACCAGAAGTTAAAAAAACCCCCAGTAGAGTGTATTTCCTGCACAGTTATGATATCCCTATTGACTAAATTTGTATTCTCCTCCTCGGTTATTATCAAGCAAAACGAGTGACGCTTGCTGTAGATGAGAGAAGAAATAATTACTGAAGTGAGAATGATAATACTATTAATCTTGCTGCTACAGACAGTAACCATAGCAATGGCAAATGTATGTTTTACTGAACTTGTGGTGACAGACTGAGGTTAACTGACACTAGATGTCGACAAGGCTTCGCTATTATGTGAAATCACCCACCGGGTCTTCTAAACGATGCAAAGGACCAGAAACCAAGTAGAAGGCGATAAAAGAAGGTCGGTGTAAATTGTGTATCTTTTCCATTCATCCTCGTTGAGATCCGGTATTGTTGAATGAAGATGTGTGTCTGATGAGCAGTGTGTGCTCTCGGGAGCTGGTGACTGCTTGTCACTCCTCACACTTGCTGCTAATTTGCTGTCTGGGTCACACTGCAGGAAAGGAATACAGTCAAATTGCAGACAGACAGATAAAAAGGTAGACAAACGGATGGCAGACATGAGATCTGTTCCTCTGTGTTGACAGACCTCCGTGCAGATAGACAGAATCATTATCCAGTTGAATGGCATCTTTCTTTAAGGCGCCTGTGTCTCCCCCCTCTCTTAATCTGTCTATCTGTCATGCTGACTCGCTCTGTGTGGTGGACTCAGGCACTGTCACGAAAGACAAGAGGGGATTTATTTTTTTCAAGTTTTACAATGAACTCCCAGCATGCATATGCATTTAGAAAGCAGCTCATTGTTTGAAACAATCTCTAAAAACGCCTCTGCACTTTAACCTCATAATCATTGTGTCATTTCATGAGCAAAGGTAATTATAGCACAGAGACATCAAACAGTGGGTTTCTGTCCAAATACTTGCTGTGCAGTACACATACTTACTCCAGACTCCAGTATTGGCTGATGTTATGTCCAATGGTTGAAGTAAGGGATGATGCAAGATGAGTTTAAGTGCCGATCGGGGCATATTCTAATTAGGGCTGCATAATTAATTGAAATATTATTGAAATTGCAATAAGTGAAATATGCAAATCGCAGTATTGTACTTCTGCAGATGCCCTGACCTACAATTCTTGTTCTCCAGAAAACATGTTTGTTTGGTATAGACCCCCAAAAACCTTCACATTTTCATAATTTAACTATTTTGTTTAGTGCAAACTAAATTTGCAAAAAATTCTAATTTGTCATTGAGAATCATATATTTTATTGATCGGCATTGTATATATTTAGTCCCAATCCAGATCCTTTGTTTATGGTAATGTGCTGTGTTTCAGGTGAAGCTGCTGTCAGAAATGCCTTGTTACTGTTCATTCTGTTAAAATACTGGAACCCGTTTCCTTGATTTACATCGTTTTCAGCAGCAGAGCAACAAGAACAAATATATAGCAGACAGCAGTTTCCACATGACAGCAAGCCTCTCTTTAGTATTGTCTTGCCGTGCCTCTAAGGTTCTGCTATTTGTTAAAAGCTGCATTTGTATATCGGTATTTCATTTATGATGAGGATTGAGAGACACGAAACACTATATGCCACTGTAGATCAACTTAAATTCCATTGTTACTGTGTAAATCCCAGTTTCATGTCAGCTGTCTAGGATTATAAGACGAGGATGAGTGGTTGTTGTCATTCAAGTAAGTATTCAGGACTTTAAATGCTCATCGGCTTCATATTACCTTGAACAAAGATGTGAACCACACTCGAAATCTGCAAACATCAGTGGTACTTTATGTTGGACTCATTGTGTTGTTTAATAAAAGGTAAAGACACGTGAACAATAAAAGTGACTGATAGATGACATAGATTGAAACCCCACAGCAGACACAGCTATTGATGGAGCAATAATCTGAAAGAAGGGGAGAGAGAGAGACAAAATGAGAGAATAAAGAGACCAAAAAGGACAGACCGCTGGAAAAGTACTTTAAGGTATAGCTTTCGCTACCAGTCATTTCATACTGAAATTTAAACTACAGTACAGATACACTCAGGATTAATAAATTTCTCTTACTGTTTTTCAAGTTAGTGTGAAATAGAAGTGCAATTATATTTTGTAAAAATAGTGATTAGATCTACACCTGTAGTCATTTATCTTCACTGTTCATAATGTCAGTTAACAGTTAACATAAAATGGCACTTTATTGTTCCCCAACAGGGAAATTTAAGATTTAAATAATGATATTTAAAACAAATGAAGCATAAATTCAGTAAATGCAATTTCTTTTTTCTCTGAAAAATGTAATTAGGAGTTTCAGATAGTTGAAAATTACCATTTTGGTCCGAATGACCAAAATTCTAATACGCTACTAACATACTATCCATTTTTAAATTCAAACCACCAAGCAAAATGGAGAAAAGGTTGGCCTTTAAGTACAAGAAGAGAAACTATTACCTAACAGTGTAGACATAGGAAAGGAACAGAGATAAAGAGAGATAGGAGTGCCATAGGAAGAGAACAGAGTGAGAGAGAGTGAGAGTGAGAGAGAGATGGCTGGCAACAAAGCCAAGCAGGACTGGACTGTCAGTTCTTGTCGCCAAAAAGAAGAAGTAGACTGGGGTGTTGGCTACACCTCTGAGAGATGGACAGAGGAGGGGGGGGATAGGAGGCAGGCCATGGAGGGGTAGAGTGTGGAAAATAGGAAGAGAGGAAGGAGAGAGGGGGAGAAGGAGTAGGTGGTGGGGATGACAGAAGGAGACCAAAGAGATACAGGCAGGCGAATGAGAGTAAAAAAGAGAGAAATAAATGAAGAGGAAGAGGCCTGGTGTCAGGAACTAGTGAACAAGGCTCTGAGAGGAGTGAGCAGGGGGAATATGAGAGAGAAGAAAGGTAGAAAAAAGTATATGTTTGAGCAAAAAGAGAATATGGGGGGGACAAAGAGGTGGTAAAGACAGGAGGAGGTGATAGGAGAGCCAGTGAGAGAGCAATATGAAGACAGATAGTAAAAGAGATCCTTAGAGTATCACAGATAGAAGAGGGAAAGGAGAGGAGGAAAATTGACAGAAGTAGAAAAAAAGAAAGAATGGGAGAGAGGGATAGAATATGAAATGAAGGACGTGGCTAAAAAAAAGGATATCAAAAAGAGACACTGATTGAAAAAGAGATAGGCTTTGAAGGAATCTGAGAGAAAAAGAGAGTGGGATGAAGATAAAACAAAAAGGAGAAGCGTTGTAGAGTAAAGGGCGTTGCTCACAAAGGGGAGCGGGATGGGAAAAGTGAGTGGGGATTAGTTTCAAAAATGTAAGAGTAAGATAATTTAGAAAAATTAGCACTTTGTAAGATATAAGAGACTGCCAGAGAAAGAGAGTGCATGGTGCGAGAAAAGGGCCAGTTAGAGAGTAAGGAGATAGGAGAAAAAAAAAAGTGGAGAGATGGCGGGAGAGGCTAATGTTGGAAAAAGTGTGAGGAGCAGGGATGGAGAGGCAAAAAGAGGGATAGAGATTAATTGAACCGATGGAAAGAGGAGAGGGTAAACAGGAAGGATGCGAGCCCTTAGAAGAGACCGGATAAAGACGCTCAGAGAAACGGATGGATGGGGAGATAAGGATGGAGAGAAATTAGAAGCCAAGAAAAAGAAAAGCAACAGGGGACAAGGTAAAGAGGGGGGAGGGGAGGTGGGAGAGGCAAGAGATAGGGAGAGAGAGAGCGACATCAAGGAAGGGAGGGGAGCTTTGAGCCTCAGTGAGAAATAATGAATCATGAATAGATTTAACAGTATCTGCTCTTATTTCCTCTCCTCCCCCTCTTTCTCCCCCCTCCAGCTTCCTCCTAACATCCTGTCGAGATCACTGCAATTGCCTCTCTCCCCTCTCCGTCTTTCTCTCCAGCACTCGCTCTGTCATTATCAGTGGCAGGGCCGTCTCATGTCCTGGCATTAATTGAGCTGTAACAGTCATCCCTTGCCTTCCTACCCTTTTGCTTTCTTCCCCCTTCCATCTCTCTCTCCCTCTTTCCTTCACTCTTTAAATTTCACACTCCCTCTACCTCCCCTCTCCTTCACTATCTTGAGCTCCCTTGTTTCATTCCTATTTCTCCCCCTTTTTCTCTTCTTCTCTCTGCCTTTCTCTTTCTCAGATGATTGTATCTGAACTATATAAAGGCACAGAAAAGATAACACACCCCCCCCCTTCTCCTCCTTCCTCCTCTAAGCTGTATGGATGCATTGAAACGCGCACACATGCACGCACACGCCATCACATTATCTCACTTGGTTCACTTCCATTATCATATCATATATATACTAGCTGTATCCCCCCGAGGAGCGAGGGAGGCTATGAGGACT